ATCTCTGCCTTTGATATTTCCACCCAACCATTCTCGTAAACAAGCAACCAGGTTATCATGTGTGTGTGTTTGATCCCGCTCTCTTTCATGCCCTACTCTTTGACACACACACACACACACACACACCCCCAATTGATCCTACTCATTCATCTTTAAGTTCTCTCAAATATTTCCTTTTTCTGGTCCTACTGCCCTGCATCTGTTCATATAGACATCATCCATCACTTAACTAATGCAATCTCCTCATTATATGTTTCCCTACTTTTGTTTATTCAACAATATTCATTTGCAAGCTGACTCTGCTGGACCCTGCTCTGGCTTCATTATGTCTCCACCCACAGAACTTCCTACTGCCTCCAGTTATATTTCTTAAGTTCAAATCTGACTCTGGGGCTGGGCACGGTGGCTCATGCCTGTAGTCCCAGCACTTTGGGAGGCCAACATGGGTGGATCACTTGAGGTCAGGAGTTCAAGATCAGCCTGGCCAACATGGTGAAAACCCATCTCTACTAAAAATACAAAAATTAGCCAGGTGGTAGCAGTGTGTGCCTGTAAGCCCAGCTACTTGGGAGGCTGAGGCAGGAGAATCACTTGAGCCTGGGTGGCAGAGGTTGCGGTGAGCCAAGATCGCGTCACTGCACTCCGGTCTGAGTGACAGAGTGAGACTGTCTCAAAAAAAAAAAAAAATTTTTTTTTAAAAATCTAGCTCTGTCACTCTCTTTGCTGAAAAATCTCAGAACAGGCTCAAGTTCAAACCAATTAGCATGGCCCTTCATGACTTGGCCTGGCCTCCCCTTCTGGTCCACACCCATGTCTGGCCACCACTCCTCACCCCTCCCTTGGCCACTCCCATGCCTGGCTCTCAGCTCCTCATAGCATTTCCCTGCCCCTCTGCTCAATTGAACAACTTGCTCTCTCCTGAGGGAGTTGTCTGAGTCCCTCCTGGTCTGGTCAGAGGAATAGTCCCTTTCTTTACAATGAGAATTCCCACTCCATGGCCTTCAGCCAGAAAGAGCAAAAATGATCACTGCTCGTTCCAGAACATATACCACATCTGGTTCCTTTCCAACCAACCCCGTCTCTTATACACCATGAAAAGATCTGGATGACAACCCCTAGCCTTGAGCTATCAGTGGGTTCATCCAACTTCTTCAGAGTTCATCCACCTCTGCAGAGCAGGACACTGGAACTGCCTTCAGTGGGACCATCTTGTTTCTGAAGAAGCTTGAGAACCATCAGTGGAGGGCTGGGGACACACAGATTGGCTTACCCAACTGCCATTCACTCAACAAACACTTTAAACTCCTCTGATGACCCAGGCCTAAGGCTGGGAAGTGGGCTGGGGGAGATTCAGACAGCCCTGCCCTACAGGGCCTACTGAGTGGGTGGCCCCATGCCATACTCCTGAGTTCTAGGTGTCTCCAGCAGGCACACCAGAAGGTCCTCCCAGTCATCCACTTCCTCGCTCAGCTCTCTTTTATCCACTCATTCATTCTCCAACTATATACCAGCCACCTACTATGTGCCCGGAGCTTTTCTGAGTTGGGATGCAGCAATGCATAAGATGGACAAAAACCCTGGTCTTCATAGAGCATAAATTTCGGGAGTGGGAGATAATAAAACAAATGATCAAAAAACAGGGGAAGTTAGAAGGTGCTTATGTAGCAAGGAACCAAACAGGGAGTGTGGTGGAAGTGAGGTGCTATTTTAAATAAGGTCGTTGGCCTCCCTGAGAAGGAAAGTGACATTTGAAGAAAAACATGAAAGAAGGGAACAGGCACCACCACTGCCACCCTCCCTATCCTCCAATTTGTGCAGTTTTTGCTGCAAATATCTTAGAGCTGCAATTCCGGGAGAAAAATAATGTGTTCTTTCTACCCACAGGAAAGGAGACAGAATGAAAGAAGGAAAGCCCGGGACAACAGAAATTCTTTCAATGTTGAACTGTCCCTGATGGACACTTGAAAACCGGCTCCGGCAGCAGAGCCGACCCGCCAGGCCCAGGGGCTCCCGGGCCCCTCCTGGGGCTGTCAGGCTAATCCCGCGGCGTCCTCCCACCCCGCCCCGCCCTGGGGACGTTTGCTCGGGTGACTAAAGTTCAAACCCGGCTGAAGCAAGCCCTGGGAGGCGCTTTAAACAGGAAAGTGGCGCGGCCGCCCGAGAGATCCCGGGGAGAGGCCCCCGGAAACCAGGCGGCGGGCAGAGGCTGCGGGGTGGGGAGGCCGGGCTGGCGGGGAGGCCCGGACCTCCCGGCTGCCCGCTCCAGCACCTGCCCGGGGCTCGGGCCTCTCAGAGGCACGGAGCTTTCTCTGCGGAAATGGCCAGGCTCCTGGGCGTGCTGGCTGCCCTGGACCGCCAAGCAGGGAGCCCCCTCTCCGGCCGCAGCCCGCCGGGCTGAGAGACCGCGGATTAAGTGCGCCTTGGTTCTCTCAGGGATGCTATTTTGCTCCGGCCCGGGTCTCTCCCGCGCCAAGTTGCACAACAAACCATTTAAACATTTCAGCACAAAACCCGATCCATTGTGGGGCCGCACATTAAAAAGTGTTATTCGCTTTGAAGTTTTTGTCTAATGGCTCTAAACTGAAAGAAAATGTTTTCCTATTACTTAATTCAATCATAGCGAAGAGACTTGGTAAAAAGCCCACGGATTTTGCCCCAAAGTGTGACAGAGTTCTCTTTGTGTTTGCTTATCCTTCGCTGTCACACACTTTAATTCGCCTCTCTTTATCTGGCATTCAAAACTTTCTTCAATGACATTCAATAAGGTCCAGAGGCTGGAGGGAGGAAAAAAAAAAAACCTGGTTATTCCCCCCACCACTACCCCCCCATATTCTTTCCCAGTAGCTTTGGCCTTGCTCGCATTCAGGGTCTCTTAACCCCTTCCTCCCCGAGCGCGCGGGGCAGCTCCCAGTGGAGCTCCACGCTGGCCACTCGCGGGCTACCAGCTCCGGGTGCAGTGCCCGCCCCTTGCACCCCTGGGCTCCGCCCGCACTTGCGCCCTTCCAGCCTGCCTCTGCCCAGCGGAAAGCCCCCTCTCCCAGCCCGGGTACCGCTCTTGGCTCCCTCTCAGCATCGCAGCCCAGCTCAAATTTCCCGGAGAGCAATTAGAACGGGAATTAGGCTGCATTGATGGATTCCGTCTGATTTGCGGGCACCACCCTAGAGTGGGGGAGCCTTGGCGCTGAGACCCTGGCTCAGGTGGCAGCCTTGCCCCCTACCCCATGCCAAGCAACCAAGAAAACATTGAACCCTTATGCCTGCCAGACTCCATGCCCTCCATGCTGGTTACTTCTCCCATTGCCCCATTCCCTTTTACAGAAGCAGTTAGTATCTCCCAAAACAAATTCTCTTTGGTTTTTAATCAGTTATAATCTGTTGCTGTTGTTATTGCAAAGATGCTGCCAATGTTAAAAGCCCATGCAGATGCTTTGGGTTTGGGTAGTCTTATTTCTGTGCACTGCTTCCCCAGACCCCTAAGCTTCCCCCTTCATTTCTCACAATTGCATTCAGGGATCAGAGCAGGTGACTGCAGCGATTTGGTTCCAATAAAATCGAAAGTAAACATCTCCTGTGAAAAGTCCCGGGCTTTAATTTGAAATGTTTATGCTAATTTCCCATTGTATGGAAAAAGCTCCTGGGCGAAACTGCTTTGAGCCCGAGAACGATTTAAAAAGCTGGAGCTGTGTACATAGCGCCGAGCGTTTGAAGTTGTTTAACCATTGTATGACCAGAAAGAAGAGAGTGACGCGGCAGGGCGAAGGAGCCGGGTCTTGGGGAGAGCGGAGGTGGATCAGGGTGGGCAAAGGCGGGTCAGGGTGGGTAAAGGCGGGTCAGGGTGGGCAAAGGCAGCCGATGCCAGGAATACAACTGCCCTTCGCGCCGTTCCAAAGTGAGAGAAGACAGTGGTTTCCCAGCGCACTGCTGGAAGTGTGCGCGAGTAGACAGGGTGCGGGCAAGATGCGCGGGCAGACCGTCCGAACTCGCCACATGTGAGGTGCGAGACCTAGATGGGCGCCATCTCGGCTTTCATTCCCCATTCCCTGTCTCTGTTCGTAAAGCTCAGCGACTGTTTTTCCTCTTTTACACCCACAGCCCTGTCATTTGAAGGAAAGGGCTGGTTGGCCAGCATCTACAGAACAAAGACTGGGCGTTGTAGGCAGCACCAAAATTAAGACTGTTTGAGAAACTTAGAGAAAACCGGCGATGGGGCTAGGACTGGATAAGGAATAATGAGACCTTCTCCTCCCTCCCCACAGACACCTTCTCCACGCGGAACCCGGTCCTCCTGCTTCCGACGCAGGAGCGATTCCACAGGTGGAAAATCTGAGACCGGCTGGAGGGACGTTCGGGGGTGCACGGCACTGAGCTGACAGGGTTGACTGGAGACAGCCTACTTTTAAGGTGTAGGGACGATAATAGAAAGAAGAGGACCAGGACCAAGTGGACAGAGGATATGAGGGTGTGCGCCCATGGGGATCTGTAGAAGCGAGGCCGTGGGGGTGCAAAATCAATAAGATGAACGGGCTGATCGCCAATGCAAAGCCAAAGGGGAGTAAGAAATAAGGAGAAAGAAAAGAATATTAAATCGCGGGAGAATGAGAAAATAAACCCGCAAAAGGGAGAGGAGGGGGCGAGGGCGCCTGTTACGGCGTGGGTGGGGTTGACAAGAATAGAGTACATTATGCAGTTCATTTAGTTAACAAGTGAAATAATGAGGAAGCGTGCAGAGTGAATGCCAAGAGAAAAGGCACAAAAACCCTATTGAGAGGCCCTGGCCGCTCCTGGCGTAGCCCATCACATGGCAATAGTCCTATTTAAGCTGCGCCGCCGGCGCCTTTCAGCACCACTAGCGCTGGCCAGCACCCCGCGCTCTTTGGGCGGTGCCCGCGGCAGCAGAGGCTGCGGTTTCAGCCTAAGTCTCAGCCGCGCCTTCAGCCTCGTGGGCAGAGGCAGCTGCGGGATACCGCGGCCGGGGAAAGCGCGTGGAGAGCCGGAAGGTGCGGTGGGAGCAGAGGGCGGGCTGGCTGCGGGGCCGCCGCGCGCCGGGGCCATGCCGCGCTCCTTCCTGGTGGACTCGCTAGTGCTGCGAGAGGCGGGAGAGAAGAAGGCTCCCGAGGGCAGCCCGCCGCCGCTCTTCCCCTACGCCGTGCCCCCGCCGCACGCGCTACACGGTCTCTCGCCTGGCGCCTGCCACGCGCGCAAGGCCGGGCTGCTGTGCGTGTGCCCGCTCTGCGTCACCGCCTCGCAGCTGCATGGGCCCCCCGGGCCGCCCGCGCTGCCTCTGCTCAAGGCGTCCTTCCCACCCTTCGGCTCGCAGTACTGCCACGCGCCCCTGGGCCGCCAGCACTCCGCTGTGTCGCCCGGGGTCGCTCACAGCCCGGCCGCCGCGGCCGCCGCCGCCGCCCTCTACCAGACGTCCTATCCGCTGCCTGACCCCAGGCAGTTCCACTGCATCTCTGTGGGTAAGCGGGGCCGCCGCGCAGAGGGACAGGGCAAAGGTGATCCGAAGCAGGATGCAGAGCCAGGGATGGAGGAAGAGGGACCCTGGGCTTTCTGGGGGCGGTGAGGGTCATGTCGGGGACTAAGGGGGGCGCTTGGGGTGGAATGCAGATAGAGGGCCAAGACACAACGCCAGGAGGCGGATGAGGGCGGACGTTCAGGTCCTGGAGTGGGGGCCGGGGTTAAGTGAGGGCTGGGATCCAGGGCTCTCCATGAAGGGGAAGGAGTTCCAGGGCTGCCTGACTCCGGGAGAATCAGGATCTCGGAGCTGGACAAGGAGGCTCTCACTGTAACTCTGCCGTGGGTAGTGTTGGGGCGAAGAGGTGGGTAAGAGGTCAAAGTTGTAGGATTCTGCTGGCCGCCTACCTAGGTATTGGGTCCACAGCACAGAGGTCTGATCGCTTCCCTCTCTGCTCTGCCACCTCCAGATAGCAGCTCGAACCAGCTGCCCAGCAGCAAGAGGATGCGCACGGCTTTTACCAGCACTCAGCTGCTAGAGCTGGAGCGCGAGTTCGCCTCTAATATGTACCTGTCCCGCCTACGTCGCATCGAGATCGCGACCTACCTGAATCTGTCCGAGAAGCAGGTGAAGATCTGGTTTCAGAACCGCCGAGTGAAGCACAAGAAGGAGGGCAAGGGCAGCAACCATCGTGGCGGCGGCGGCGGGGGTGCCGGTGGTGGCGGGAGCGCACCGCAAGGCTGCAAGTGCGCATCGCTCTCCTCAGCCAAGTGCTCCGAGGATGACGACGAATTGCCCATGTCTCCGTCCTCCTCAGGGAAGGACGACCGGGATCTTACGGTCACTCCCTAGGCGCGCGTCTCCCTAGGTCCCCCACCCCAAGACCTCCCTGCGCCTCGGTGACTGGTCCTGGGACTCAGCGCTGGTTCCCAGGCACCCGCTGCCAAGCCACTGCCCGGCATGGATTTGGCACGGTTTTGCAGAGGTCCCGGGCCTGGGCAGGGCTGAGAGCTTGGCAGAGACTAGACCATGGTGTCCCCGCCCCAGGGCTCGCTCGCGTCCAGAGCCAACTCCGAGCTGTGAACACTATAAGCGCTCGAGTCCTCCTGGGCAGTGCAGCACCGCGGCCCCAGCCTGCAAGCCTGCTTGGCGCAGCGCCTTGCTGGCAGCCGGCGCCTCCTAGCCCGCCCTCTCTGGGCTGGCTTGGGCTTCCTCGCTTACTCTACTGTCCTCTGCTCTCGGTCAAGGTCGGCAGCCTTGGATGCTCGTTCGCTTCTCTTTTTAAAATCTTTTTGTCCCTCCCCACCTCTTTTCTGTGATCATTTATTTACTCGGCCCCCGCCCGTCATCACACACATTTATGAACCCCCCCCTTTTATTTCCTTTTGCTTTTCCCTTCTCCTCCTCAGGAAGCCTCCTCCTTCAGTCAGTCCATGTGTCCCTTGATCTGGCCTTGCTGTCCTCAGTCCTCACTCTTGATCTGGCCTTGCTGTCCTCTGGCCCCGTTTGATCTGGCCTTGCTGTCCTCAGGCTCCTCTCACAGATGATAAATTTCGCCCCAGTAGTATCCATACTGGGGAAACCCATTCGCTGTTTCCGACACGCTCTTCATTCCTCTAAACATAGGACCCCACTCTCCGACGCTGGCGACCCCACTCTTCCCTCTCCAGACTCTGGTCCGCCCCAGCCTAGCTGTGTAATTGTACGGCCTCTGCAATGCCAGAAGATATTTATTTATTTATTTATGTACAAAATTTTAAATAAACTTTTTTTTTTCTTAGAAATGCCCGTGACTCTGAGCCCAGAGGCCTTCGCTCTGGAGTAGACAGGCGCCAACCTGGATTGGGCCTCCGTGCTGGGAAGGGTTGGGGATCCAGTTGCAGGGTCCGAGCCGGCTCCTCGCCTTACAGCTCAGCCAGTGCCTCTCGGCACCCTCAGCTCCGCTGAGAGCTCGCCTTCCATGCCAGCCAGGTGCGCGCTAACGATTGTCCCGCTCCGGCCTGGCGCACAAGCGTCTCGGAGCTCGAGCTAAGCCGGAAGGGAAGGAGGGCGCTCTCCCTGGACTGCATGAGTCCCAACCCCTGCAGCGCCTCCTTCTCACCTGGGATCCAGCCCCACCTCCATCCCTCAACGTTTCGTTGTCCCGGCCGGCAGCAGGAACCACTCCCTCCATAAGCACAAGAAATCCGTCCTTCGCTGCGCTTGGATTGATAACAATTAGTTAGGGACAAATTTCCATTCTGCGGGATGGTGCAGACTCCTCTCAGACGGTCCTCCTCGCTTTGTTTTAAGGCAAATTCCTTTAGCCGAGTCTCTGGTCGCGGAACATTCCGGGCCAGGAATCTGAGAACCCAAAGGGATCCTGCCCCAGGGAGTCCCCGAGAGGGACTGCATAGCTGGAGCCAGTGGCTCTGGGACCTCATGTTCTTACCAATTCTCGTTACAATCCTATATCACCCTACTACTTAGAATCCACACCCCAGCTCCCTTTGAGGACATATGCGGGTCTTTTTACTCTCTAAGATGGATGAGGAGAAGGAAGTGCGTGAGGTTCTGCAGAAACGGAGAGCGCACAGCCGCGGGAGAAGGAGTGTTTCTGCAGTCAGTATTTCTGCAGTCAGACCTGGGAAACTACTGTCCGCGTTCTCGCCGCTCCCATTCTGTGTCTAGGAAACCTGCCAGACCTTCTTCACACACACACACACACACACACACACACACACACACACACACACCCTGGGGAGCGCTGAACTCCCCGTGTCTAGGCAAAGCAAATGCGTCTTTTCCAGTAGGAAAGACGGTCCACCTAAGGTTGCTCAACATTTTTGGAGCTCATTTCCTTCCCCCCACAAAACAGCTTTATTGAGCTATTCACATTAGCATCCAGTTCATTCAATCAAAGTGTGCAATTCCACGATTTTTAGTATATTCACAGAATTGTGCAACCATCGACACAATCTTATTTAAAAACATTTTTTGTCATCCCAAAAAGAAACACCATGCCCATTGATAGTCGCTGCCAATTCTCACTATATCCAACCCTAGGCAACCACAAATCTACTTTTGGTCTTGTATTAGTCAGGGTTCTCCAGAGAAAAGAACAAATAGGCTATATGTAGTTATGTGAGGAGGTTTAGTCTGGAGACCAGGAAGTACTGTGATATGCCATCTACAAGCAGGAGAACTAAGAAAGCCAATAGTGTGATTTCAGTACGAGAACCAGTGGAGCTGATGGTGTAACTCCTAGTCCGAGGCCCAAAGCCTGAGAACCTGGGAAGCCGCTAATCTAAGACCCAGACTCCAAGGCACCGGAACCAGGAGCTTGTGGGGCTTATTTCTAAAACTTTTAGTCTTTCCCTTCAAATGAAGCTGAGTATGGGGATGGGAGGATCTCTCTCCAGTTCCCCTGGAACAAGGGCAGGCACGATCTGGCTCCCCATGGAGAAACTCTTGCCGGTTCTTCCTGGAGCTAGGCACCTGAGTTGTGCGCTAGACTGATGAGGATCTCCATCAGTCTGAACCCCACTTTAGACGGGGACCAATTCTCCACCATCCCAGGAGGTGACACTGTGCCAATCTACTGCCAATCTAAACAAAGCCAAGGTGCTTTAGTGCATACCAGTGAATAGAATCACAACTAATGTTTTACTATCAGTGATGAAGCTACTGCTTTCTGAGTTTTGCTCGTTTGCACGTTGGTCTAGGGCCCCAGGGTGAGTGCAGTTGTGCACTCTTAGCTGCGGCACGACCGGCCAGTCTCCCTTTAGCTGGGATTTGGGGGCGGGCGGCAGCACAATTGTCTGGCAACGAGTTCGTTGTGGGTCTGAAGGACCGGCTTAGAACTAGTTCCTCTCCTGGATTATAGGATGGGGTGATCTTGTGCACCTGGGACAGCTTTTGCCAGCACTCAGTGTCAGGCATCTTGATCAGAAATGCACTTTCGAGCCTGCCAGGGAACAAAGTTTGGAGGGGATGGAAACGGCCGTGGGAGAAATAGAAAGGATGGAGAAATAGAAAGGATGAACGTGCGCACCCGGCTCTCCCCGCACCCACCTCTTCTCCCCGCCCTGCCTAGGGATCCCTCCTGTTCCCAGCTGCTCCCAGGGTCCGCAGATCCACAACTGCGAGCCAGGTCTGCGCGGGGCCAGTTCTCCCAGGAGTGCACGTTTCTTCCTCTCGGCTTCCCAGGGATTCATTTCCGCAAGACCAGGCTTTCAGTTTTCTGGTCTGCCTCAGCGGCAGCGGTAGGAAAAAAGCAAGCCTCCTTGTGGCGATCCCAGTTGTTGCCAAGGTAGCAACGGGAGCGCAGCGCTGGGGACTTGGAGGCGGCTGCGGCGCACCGGGGCTCTCAAGCATCCCGCCGCCAGGAGAGACTGCGACCAGCGTTCGAGTCCCAGCACACTTTTCGCTCAAACACTCCTCACCCTGAAGCCTCTGACCTGAACGCAGAAACAGTTTGCGTCTTGGGCCTCCGCTCGTGTCAAAGTCTCTCCTCTGCCGCTTTGGTTGACCGCCAGGGAAGGGCGTGATTGCGGCCTGGAGCTACGGGCTCCTTCTCTGAGGAGACCCAATCCAGGCTTTAAACCACACTGCTCTGAGCTGGAATTTGGGACTCACAAGGCAAATTGTGAAATTAGGACCAAACTGAATTGTCAGGATGATATTTTCTGGAAATTGCCTTTTAACGTGGCTAATTCACGTACAGGTCCCCGAGTTTATTTTAGGGACCGTGTCCTTTTCTTTGTGCATGTAGTGGCTAGGAGTGTGGGCCCTGCAAAAGCCTGGCTTTGCAATCCATGTCCACCATTTCCTAATCTTGGGCAAGCCACTGGTCCTTCCTAAACTTCAGTTTCTTCCTCTGTAAGTAGGGATTATGTTAATAGTTCCTCTGCAGGGTTGCTGTGCAATATTAATGGATAGAATTCCCACAAAATGCTAAGCAGAATGTCTGCCATGTTTCAATAAATGTTAACTAATATTGTAGTTGTTGGTGTTGCAGTTGTTACTTGCAGTGTCTACAGCTGCGCCTGGGGCATAGCAGATGCTGAATTATTTAATGAATGCTGAAAAGTGACCACTCATACTCAGACTTAGACACAAATCTACCACTGAAGAGGGGCCAGGGAACACATGCAAGTGCAAACATTTCCTGGGCTCCGTGGAGTTAGTGGAAAATAAGGAATGCTCCCGTCTGCCAAGTACCAGGTGCTGGAATCGTTTAAGTCCAAACAGGGAACTCCTTTTTGCCTTCATTTAAACCAGTTCCTCAACCTCCACTCTACTGAGATTTTGGACTGAATAATTCTCTGTTGTTGGGGGGGCTGTCCTCTGCATTCCATGGAGGCTAGCAGCACACCTAGCCTCTACCCACTACATGCCAGTAGTACCTTCTCCCAGTTGTGACAACCAAAAATGTCTCCAGACATTGCCAAAAGTCTGGGGGGGATATATCACTTCAGGCCGAAAACAACTGATTTCAACCTGTATCATTTCTGCAGAAGTCCACAGTGGTCAGGATTTGGTGGCCTGGCTCTGAGCACACCTTTCTTCCTTTCTGCCAGCTATCCTTTCATTGGACACCTGTACCTTCTACATCTAGGGTACTAGACGGCTCTGCAATGTAGTGTGAAAGGAGGAAGCAGAAAGAGAAAGTGGGGGAAGGGCAGCTGGTGGAAATAGCAAAGCTGAAGGCCTTTCCTGCATAGTGGGGGCATGCAGCTAGTCTGCACAGCCTAGGGCATGCAGGTTGAAAGGGTGAGTCAGTCAGTGGCTTGCTGGCTGAGCAGAATGTACAGGGCTTCTAGGGTCTTTCCAAGAATATCCTATCCATATGTTTCATAGCCCTGTAGACAATAGGCTCCCTCTACAGTCAGGTCCATGAGTACCCACAAGGCCAACATTTGGGAGAAAAATTTTAGAAGCCTGAGGTGGCATCTCCCAAGTCTCTGTCTCTCTCTCTCTCTCTCTCTCTCACACACACACACACACACACACACACACACACACTCACCACCACAATTAAGGTTCTTCTTGAAGCACATATAGGCATTTGTTAATGCCTTCTCTCTTGAAGGCATTGTTTTGTTAATGCCTACATGTCTGATACTGAAAATCAATTCCTTTTGATTAGAGCCTCTCATACTTGATGCAAACACAAGTAGCCTTGCAAACAGTAACCACTGAGCACTGACAGTCGTTCACTTTTTCCGAGAAAAGGCTCTGGAATGGCAAAAGGGTAGAGGGATGCTGAGGATAGAGGACCAGGTACATGGAAGAGAAGTAAGGGCAAGAGAAGCGTGGTCATGGTGGGAGGACCCTGGAAGTCTTACTGCACCAATCAGTGCCGTGAGACCATTGGTCCCCTACCCCCAAATTGGAAGGCTGAGCCACTGGGTTTACTAGCTCCTTCAGAACCCAGCTTTACCCCCAAAGTAAGGAATAAACCAATTCCAATGAGGCAAAAACTCATGAATCCAGCCTTTCCCCAACCTTGCATGTAATCATCCACAGGTGATTTTGTTATACTAATAGGAATGTGTATGTATACGTTTATGTGTGTGCACATGTTGGAGAGACTGAAACAAGGGGAAGGTGGGGAAAAAAAGTTGGTGAGTCTAGGAGAAGAACGAGATTTCACTCAAGTTAAACAGCCTGGTGTAGTGATCATGCTGTCACTCTGAATCCAAACCCTGGTGCTAGAAAGCTCCTTGGAAACCACCA